CGCCGTCCGCACCGGTCCCACACCCCCTCCCCATCCTGCGCTCCCCGCTCCCCTTGTCCGCACCGCCCCCCACACCCTCTCCTTGGCTGGCCCTTCACCAGGCCCGGCTCCCGCACCCGTTTCCTCATCCTCCCCTTCCTTCTCCGGGGCTCCCCCCACACTATGTCCATCTCTTTTTGTCTTCCTGTTTCTTTAGATCCTACCAAAACTAGACCTTCCCTCCCCAAACTGCTGGACAGCCCCGGCTGGTCGGTGAGCATCTGCTACCCCTCAGTAGGTCGGGCAGAGCAGAGTGAAGTCACAGAGGTGCTTGCTCGGGGCAACTGCTCCAGGCAGAGTAGGGTCCAAACCCCCAAGAAGAAGCTTTAGAGTGAGTCAACATGCTCTTACATCAGCAGGCAGCTCATCTGATCCCTGACTTGTTGCAAGACACAAGCTGGGTTTTTCAGGAAAGCTCAGCTCCCTTTTAGCTCCCCGAAGGCTGCACACACAGAGGTGTGCAGGCAGCTGTGCGCTCTCCACCAGAAGGCCAGACTGGTCAGCCTTTGTCCAGAAGCTGTGTAGCTGTGTTAACATAACACTGTGCCCAATTCAGTGAGCCTCAGCATCGCTTTTTTTCCTTGGTGCCTAAATGGCAGCTGAACTCTTCTAACAATCTGACCCACTCCCATTTTAAAATAGAAGGTAATAAAGGGTGGAGTTTGTTTAGCGTGCTGAGCTCCAGCTCTGGGGAAAGTCCAAGCAGCAGCTAGAGTGATTTCTTTCACTGTTTTCCTAGAATATTTTAATGTACCCAATTTAAAAGCCAATAAATTGTCTTCACCACAAGATGCAGTCCTCCTCCTGGCCATTTTCACATTTATTCATATATTGTATGGCTCATAAATCCACCCACGTCCCAGAACAGCATTAAACTTCTACGGCCTGATGCTGAGATGGACAGAATACCTGCAAGTTTTGTTCCTGTCCATGGAGATAGGATTTTAAATCTCCCCAAATCAATACCTTAAAGAGTTCAGACTTCTGCAATGATGTTGATGGGAACATTAAAATCTGTGTTGAAAGATGACACTGCAATCCTGCAAACTTAAGCTGACTGGTTTTTTTGTTGGATGTGGTGTTCTTTGTAATAGACTATGGAGCAAATAGTATAAGAAGCAGTTTTTACAGTTTGTTTTAAATATAAGTAAGCTTACTTCTCCTTTCACCCATGTCTTCCTTCAGGCTTTTTTATTGCTTTATGATAAAATCTGCAAAAACAGGAATTGTATATGGTTTTCCCTTCTTAAAGTTTCAGGTGCAAATATCTAAGCGCATGCTTTTACAGATCTCCTGTTTCTTTTGTATGTTTGAATACTAAAGACAGACCTGTCTTACTTCAAACCCAATTGACGGTTTTGCCTGACCTCAAGATTTTATTTGTGGCACTAACTGGGCACCTTCATAACAGTCTTAGAGACTGTTGAAAAGAGAGGCCAGACTGGGCCTTTGAACTTTGGCAACTGAACTCAAAGTTATGGAGTTCGGAGGAAGTTTGGGACAAATTAGTGGGACAAAAGGTGAAAACACATGTTAACGGCTGCCCATTCTGCACAGTGTCCTCTGCATGAGACCACCTTCTGTTGGTCCTGTACCTATCATTACTGCCATATTCATACACAATAAACACAAACATACATGTTGTGCTTTAGTCTTCCTACCTGTAGTTCAGCAAGACTGAACCAGGCTAGTATTTGGATAGGAGACCTTCCAGGAGAGTTTACTTGCTGTTGGAAATAGTGTTCACTTACTGAGTGTTTTTTTTGCCATATTGCCAATACTGAATACAATATTTTGCCAATACTGAAGTCAGTCTTGTCTGGTTCTGGGGATGATGAGTTGTAGAAATTCCAGCTTTGAATGGAATAAAAGCAAGTTCTTGAGCATTTTTGGTCATGATGGAACTTTTGGCAATTTACTGCAGAGTAGGAGAGTATCCTGGCCAAATTCCAACCTGGGTGATTACATTCAGCTGACTGAAAATGAACAGTGGCAATTGCTGCATTTCACTGTTGGGCAAAGTGATTTCCACACGTGGGCTTAAATTTGTAAAGTGACTTAGGGTAAAGCAGAATGAAAAGAACTTACAGAAATGTCCCTTTAACCCTAATTCTTGGAGGCCTTGTGAGGCTTGTCAGTCTGCTGTCACGTTTCTCTAAATGCCAGTGATCCAGCTGCTGGAGCATTGCTTGGAATGGCTGTACCACATCACAGGATGGTCTTCAGAACAGTGGTGCTTTTTATAATGTGCATACACATTCCCACACATCAAGCAAGGAAACACAGAATGGCAGAGAAAGAGATAATAAAAGAACATTCAAAGTTTTCTGTTAGAAATTAAAATACTGTGACACTGCTGTTCAGGCTGATCCGTGGTTGGTGTTTTGTTTTCAAAAAGGCTAAGTGGTCCTTTGATTCAAAAAGGTAGAGAAACACTGATGTAAGATATAGAAGGCAACATGGAAGTGTGTTTCCTGTTATATATGTACCCCAATGTATAACATTTTTTTTTCTCTCCCTGACTTTTCCTACTTTATTTTGTACCCAGATTTTCTTGCTCCTGTCTGAAACATGCCTTATAACTTTACAAGTTTTCAGAAGACTGCTGTGTTTCACTGGGATAGGAATATTGCATCTGCTTCATAGCAGGAGGATGTTATATGTATTACAGCTTAATTCTGTTCTACTTTAAACCTAGATAAAGAATGAAGACTGTCTGTACCATTTTGATTACCTCTTCTAGGGTTCAAAGAGAGAATCATTTCCCCTGACCTTCATTTGCTAATGGCTCAGCTTGATCTAACTGGTATACAGATAAACTTGCTGTTAAACAAAAATTCCAATAGGAAGAACCACCTCAATGTCCAAAATTCCTTTGCCCCTGCTGGTATTGGTGGCTCTCTGTAACCATCTAAAAGCTGAACTACACAAAGGCACGAGAGCTATTAACAAGAAGCTTGTATATGAATGGACAATGCTGCCATCCTCTTGAGAGATGAGACGAAGGACCCTTCACAATGACAGCTCTTCAAGTTCCAAATATGACAGTCGTGCATATGGAGTTTCATGCTTTGTCTCCAGAGTGATCTTCGTTCTTGTTAAGCTAATTTCACCTCTTGTCACAAGTTTTGCTTTTGGGATTTAGACCATCATTAGCCACGGAACTCCTGTGTAAATCACTTTTTTTTTCTTTTTTTCCCCTATTCTACACAAAGACTGTTAATATGACTGTTAGCGGAATAAGCAAAGCCAATATTCACAGGGTTTAACTTTGTACCAATAGCACCTTTTGCCCCAGAATGCCTTACAAACACCATACAGCACGCATGTCCCAGTGCACAACTTGTCATGAAATTTCTGTTCACTTAGGCACCACCTTAGTTTCCCAAGCTGACTTTTAGGGACATTTCAGCACATAGCATCTCATACAATAAGTCAGATGCCACCCAGAGGTGCCTTTCAGGTCTGAGAGCTTTCTCCGTGAATGTATTCAGAGCTAAAGAGACCATGCATGCATCCTGCGGGTTGATGCCATCCACCTAACGGGAGCATCCTGAAGTGACTGAGGGATGGCAGAAGGAGGGCACGCTGGCGCTCCTCCTGTCCGACTGTGGGTGCGACGTGTAGGTGTTTACTGCGATGAGCACCGCAAAACGTGGCTTGTGGCTGCAGAAGAGGCAAGTGTACTTTGAGCTTCCCAGTGATTGTAGCTTTGCTATTGCAGGTGCCTCTACTGCATTGCCAGTAACTGCCTGCTCTTTTTGTTACTTTCCCCCAGGAGGAAGGTATGCTGAGGGCTCGGATCCAAAGAGTTCAGGTTCCCCTGGGTGAGGCGCTGCGACCCAGCCAGCTCCCCCCATCCCGGCTGCCTCATATGTGGCAGCTGTCCCAGGGTGAGCAGTACAGGGATAGTAACTCTCGCGTTTGGGAGATAGAGCACCATCTCATGGTAAGGATGGTGGCAACAATAGACCATAGTCATGCCTGTTTGTGAAGTCATTTGAGATCCTTGAGGGACAGCAAAGGACTGTTATTTTGTTAAAGTCCACTAGCTCAGCCACAGTAACTGTAGACGTATTGAACTTTTCCTTGTCGCTTACAGCTTGGTGGTGTTGAAGAACTGCTGCTTAAACTCGTGCCTGGTGATTAATCTGGTATGTGTAGATATTACCCCTGCTTTGTACTGTGCTCTGTTTATTCCCAGTCATTCTTTAATATGAATTTTTGTCTTTCAGGAGCAGTGGCTCTAGGAAGATGTCATTGTGTATTTTGTACAATAAATTATTCTCTCTCCACTGAAATGCAGCCACCTCTGAGGTGGAAGCAGTTAAACAACACACAGCAGCATCACACAAGAGTTTAGGACAGGCAGTGAAGAGGAGTATTGTGTCCAAGTGAAACATCAGGGGGAGTTCTAGGTAGGCAGAATATAATTGCTCCAAGTGGAGTTTGGCCAGGATGCTGGAAATAATGCCTTAGTGATATTGAAAAGTGCTGTGAGCTGGTGAATTATCAGAAATTTGAAAGGCAGCACCTCCCTAGCTCTGGGCAGGGGCAGGGGCAAAGGCAGGGACAGGAGCTGAACTGTGGCTCAGCAGGAGCTGAAGTCCCACCACCGCTTTTGGTAACAGCGGTACTTCCCTGTAGAGGTCTCCCATCCAACTACTAGTACCACCAGTTTTTGCTCATCTTTTATCTCTCATGGAAGATCACAGTTATAGGTGTCACAGCTGCAGAAAGACAAATTGAGTGAAATCCAACTTTCTAAGGTTTTGAACAAGATAGAGCTGTCCTCCAGTCTATTTTTAGGGATTTCCAAGAGACTTTCTCCTGAAACAAAAGAAAAGAGCCCTCCTTGTTGTCTTTATGGGACATAAACAACTAAGTTGTTTTGTTTGGTGGTTTTCTTAAATGCCTCCTCCAGCTGTAGTTATATGACTAACGCTAAATCCTTGGTTGTATAGAGCTCATGGAGAGGGCTTTCGTATAAATACATGTTTTAGTAGAAGGTCTAGAGGCACAGAACTGTTAAAAATTAGTCAGCCATGTTAACTGGAATCTTTGTGCATCCAAATGGAAAAGGACACATTTTGACCAAAGAAAAAGGCATTCAAGCCTAGCAACATAAAACTTCCCGTATTAATTGTCCACATTATCATCCTTTAGCCAGACACAGGGAATTCTTGTGTGTGTTAAAGGAATCTTAGGGCAATAGATGTTTTCTGAGCTGTCTGTGACAGAGAGGGAAATTGGGAACTCTTTGCAGCGTTGGCTTTAAGACAGTGTCTTGCCCCCCACCCCCTGAAAAGCATGTTGTTTCTACAGTAACATTTTCCTATCATTTTAGTTCTCTGAACATGTCCCAGAAGGATCCCTGCCAGAAACAAGCCTGTGAAATACAGAAATGCTTGCAAGGTACCAAGTGTCATTTTGTCTTTTTGGTGTCTTGATTTTTGGTAGAATTTAATTCTTTTAACTTAACCCTGTTCTCCTTTCACCTTGAGAAGGAAGAAAGCAAGCACATTAGCATCACCTGGTTGCAAAGTAACAAAAATTATAATGTCTGGTTTTAATATAATTCCCTTGTGCTTGATTGTAAATAATGAGACACCATTAGTACAAAACAGAGCATTTGTAACAGTAATGTGCTTATTTCAGAGTGTTCTCTGGTAGTGAGATCCCATGTTTAGTCTTGGGACTCAGCTGTAGGTGGGCAGAGCTAGACATTATAATAAGCTCTCTTGCAGAGTGGGTAGTGAGATAGTGGGTGGGTTGTATGAGAAGACTAGACTGCAGAGCTTCTAGCTCCAGGAGTATTTTAAGAGCAGGTCAGACAGGTGTCTGTCAGGAATGGGTTAGATCTATGTGATCTGGCCTCAAGATATGAGATGGTCTCCCTCTGGAGACCTTTAACAGATGCTTTTTATTAGCTTAGCTAAATATTTGTAGGGGCAAGGGAGATTGTGATAATGTGTTTTGGGAGCCTGAGTTGGGGAGAGCAGGTTTGTTACTTGTAGAGAACAGTATTTTTTAAAAAATCTGGTTGCTTCTTCGAAAAGGATTTGTTATGGAATGAACAAGAGAAAACATTCCTCTGTGCCAAGGTAGCTCAGTCATATGGGAAAGAATTCTTCCTAACTCACCTGGTAGAGCCCTTAGCCAGCATGCTCTGAGCTTTATGTGAGAATAACACATGGTGTTAGCCCAGGGATGATGGTGTGGATGACACCACAGCGAAAATTAGCCAGGCCAGTTCCACAGCAACTCATTTCTGCCTTTAATTTACTTGTAGACTACAAGCAGGTTAGCTAAAATATAGCAGGGAGGGAGGAGGGGGTCCTGCTGAGGAAGTAGAGGGATGGCTTTGCAGGCTGCAGCAAACAGTGATTGCAATCTGTGCAGATAACACAATAACCCCAGAGGCTAGGGAGGAGCATAAAAGGAAAAGCAACTGGGAAAAAGTAGAGAAAAGCAATAGCCAGTTATTGGTAATGTCTGTCTTTCCCAGGATTGTTTTTTGGAAGCTGTGTTCAGCTCAAAGTAAGGGCTCAAACAACTGCCTCTACATGTCTCCAACATTTGTATAGATACTACCTTTCACCATCTTCATGGTTTGGAGCGTTCTCCCATAAAGGGCTGCCTTCTTCTCCCATAGTAACTGCACTTAAAAGCTGATGTTTGACCCTGTTTTGGTCCATCTGTGACAATGTTCTTTTTGTAACATCGATGGAGGTTATTTCGAGTGTTTTACCTGTGTAGGTTTGTGTACAGATTTGATCTGAATGGTTGTTAGCAAAGAAGCTCTTTGCTAAGTGGATGCACACTTCACTGTCCACCACTTCTCTAGCTATCGTTTCGGAGTGCTGTTGTTGTTCATGTATCATCGCGTGTTGGGAGTTGTCTGAGTTGCACAGATGAAGCAGCTGAGTTGACAGATAGCAAAGCAGTTTTTCCCTGTAAGAGTTAATGTGATAGCCTTAACTGACAAATACGCTGAGACAGCGTACACAGTACAGAGGATGGAGGGTGGAAGGGAGGGAAGGAAGACATTAGGAAGATGCTGGCTTTTCAAAGACTGGTTTTGGAGTGAGTCATTGTTCCAAAAGATCTTGCCTGCTTCCTCTGTGAGACTGAATGCCCACTGTAAATCTCTTTTGTGTTTTGCTATCCATTGTATGATTAAACATTGTGCTTTTCAGGAATGCATCCCTGACAGATAGCAGGGTGTGCCTGCATGTAGCCATAGTTTTAGAAACAACCTGCACAGGCAGAGGAACAGTTAGGAGAACCTTGGAACATTCAGCAGCAGCAGGTTATGGCAGATAGAGATTAGCTCTCCTCTCCAAGGGGCCACCATGCCTCCTAGCTGCTAGCTTGCACAAAGCAGTAACATCACCATAACCTTCTTCTCAGGGGTGAATTCTGTGCTTGTGTTACAGGTCATTCAGCGACCCAGTTACAGAATTCATAGCACAGCAATCAGAGTGGGATGGCTTGCTCATTAATCAGAAGGCATTCACTGCTGTATTTGTTTCACATTGGGTTGCCGTTGCTTCTTTTAGTCTTTTAAAAATCAGTGGCAGGGGGGGCGGGGAGCACAGCTGCATAGTAGTTGCGTAGCTCATCTGAGGCAGAGTGGGTAGCTCTGCACGCCCTGTGCTTCTATGCAGACAGGTAGTTATTAATTCAAGCCACAAGCTTAGTCTGCTCACATACCCACAGGGCTTTTCTCTGAGAGCCTGGTGGTTAGCCTTGCCTTTGGCACCTCAGCCAACAGTGGCAGCCAGCAAAGTGCTAAGGCAGAAAGGATGCTAGAAAAATCACCTGTGTCCTGCAGTGCCTGAAGCTGCCAGTGCAATGAAATCTCTCCAAGCCTGGAACAAAGGCAATATGGAGAAAGACAGAGGTGGGCACAGCTGTGCCATGCACAAAGACGTGAGCCCAACCACTCCAGGTCAGACTAGGAGCTTGTTTAGCCCCACATCTCAGCTCTGGCAATGCTCAAGAGAAGAAGCCTAGGAAGGAAAGTGAGAGGAGGTCAAGTAACAGTTATGTAGCTATGGGACCTCCTGAGCTAGATGTGGGAACTTTGTGTGGAAGGTTGTCATGTCACTGGCTCTGTGCATTTGGATTCAGCTGCTGGCGTCTTGCT